AAAAAAAAAAAAAAAAAAATGTGTTCTCACATTGTCTGTGTTTGAGATGCTTGAGTACAAGGAAGCAACGAAAAATCATGAATCAAGACCTCTCAATAGTCTTTCGCTGCGTTTTCAGGCGTTTTCCGCGCACCAAGGAAGCACTCATGGGGCTCTGCGGTGACACGCGCAGCCAAGGGTTATGCCAACCACACCCCGCTGCCCCCCGTCACTGAAGTGCACCACCACTTGCGTGCCCACCCAGACATGGTGGCGAGCCGGACAGCAAGTCAGTCTCGATATGCGCGGACGTGCGCCAGATCAAGGGATTTACAGCAACCATAAACAACCTTCACATGGGTCAGACTGTGGAAAACAACCAGAACAAACTGATGGCATCAGCACGTTGGCATGTCATTGGCCACCGTTGCTGGGCGCCGACGACACGTGCGCGATAGACGCCGCGCACAATGCGCACACAAAAATTGCGCGGGTATCGCGGGTAATTGGCGTCGTCGCTGCAGTTGCGGCGTCAGATCGTGTGTGCATGACTGAGGCAGCGGTGACCGCACCACACCCCAGTAACGTGCATCATGCGTTGCAACATGAGGCCCATAGACATCACCCCGCACGCAGTAAATCAAACCCCGCCCGTGCAATCATTTCCGCCCTCCCCCTGCAATCATGTCCGCTCTTTTCTGGCGGAAACCCCCCGCAATGATTTCTCGGTACCCGGCCACACGCCTTGCTGCAGTTTGAGCAGAATGGCTTGGGTGACCAATATGTGGCAGCCATACCCCGCTGTAGTCATTCTTTGGGGGGGTTAGAGGGAAATAAATGATTGCCGAAAATACAATCATTTAACCCCTACCCCTCTCGCAATCATTTCCAACGCTGGGGTGGTCCATAGACAGCAAGTCGTACATTGGAACAGGGCCTGGGTAGCACGCACGCATGGGATGTTCAAGGAATGACAGTCACGCACTGCGAATGTTGAAACTCCATCTTCACAGTTTGACAAAACAGTTTTCAACGAAGGCGCACATAGGTTGTGGCAGCCTTGTACATCCGACGTCCACCACGATTGGGGCCTCCATAATCGTTTCGCACATCGCCGACAAGACGTCCACGCTTTACAAAATGGATCGCTTGAAATATGTTTGCGCGATGCGCTCGACAAAACGGAGCGGCAGGTTTGCAAGGCTTGTCCACGCCTAGGGTTCGCTTACCCGGCACCAACAAATGCTTGGAAACAACCATCCAGCAAAAAGTGGCTCTGCAGCGAGGCGCCTTCAAGATTTGTCATCGATTTGCCCAACACATGCTGTCCACGCTGTCGGTGGATGTAAAAGTGACACATGGTGGGGCGCTGGAACTCGCAGGCGTCGTAGGCCGAATGTGGATTTTAGCGGCCATCCACCTTGCACACACGCGACGGTCGGCAACGGTTTTCAACGAACAACATGGCGCCATTAGGCTGGGCATCGCCCAGGTGTGGATGCCCCACACAGCCATGTTGCTGCGGCCATGCGCTGGGCCGACGCTCGGGGCCAATGTGTGGCCATCATGCACCAAAGTGTGTTTGCCCTTGATGATAAACATCTCCGGTGTTATGTGTCTGTTTATGTTGCGAAGGCGTTGGCCGATGCATGACGCCAAATATGCATGCCATTCGGTTTTCACCGTGTCCTGGACGCGACCATCCTGCATATGGTGTATGGCCTCGAAACCATGTGTTCGCGGATGATCATGTTGCATACTGTTCGTGTGATGACGACGACACCGTCCCAAACAACGACCATATGGTTGCCATGCTGTCGGGGTGTTTATTATGGTCCCTCCTGTGTTTCTTGATATTGGCTGCGTGACGTTTCCATCACTACTTGATTAAGACAAGCCTCGCAAGCATGGAATGTGTCCGGCGACGTGAAGCTTTGTCCCGAGTGGTGGGTTTCGCTGCCCTCGTGGCCGTCCTACATTAAAAAAAGGGAAAAAAAACTTGTTGCGTCATCGGCCACATATTCGGCACAAAAACGTCTGCGAAATTTTTGGGAGCACGCTGACATTTGAAAGTTCGCACACCCTGCCCTCGACATCCAAGGCGGTGGTATACAGAACAAATTACTTAACTCCCAGGATGTGGGCCAGCTTTTTGATTTCAACCTGCATCCAAACTTGCCCAAGTTATGCAAATAATTTTGCAAATTGGGGGGGGGGGCTGTGCCAACCCCCCCTTTCTTATTGCCATCCGTGCTTCATTTTCTCATCATTTTTATGGTTTGTATTTGTCATCATTTTTCCAACATCATTTTTTGTTTTTTTAGTCGTTGCTCATCATTTGCAGCATTTTTCAGCATCGGTCTTTCATTTCTCCTCATTTTCAGCATTTTCTTTTTTTATCATTTTCATCTGGTCATCATATGATTTTCCATCATTTTCCATCATTTTCTTGCTTTTCCATTATTTCCCATCACTTTTCATCCTTTTTCATCACTTCCATCATCTTCATGATTTTCTTGATTTTTCCATCATTTTGCATCATATTTCATCATTTCGATCATATTCATCAATTTCATGATTTACCTATGATTTTCTTTATTTCCATGATTTTTCATCATCTTTCCATCGGCTTTTCATAATTTTTGAAAATGTTCATCATTTTTGTATTGTTTTTTTTGCGATTTTCATTATCTTCTAGCAGGTTCAGAATTTTTCCTAATTCATAGCTTTGCTTCAGATTCGCGCTCTCGTGTGAGGCGTCCTTGGATTCCAGGCCCCCAGCCCCCCTCCAAAAAAAAAATCCACCCATTTCCAGCCTTGTTAGGAGCTATTTCAAACTAGGGCCTTATGAGGCACTATTTCAAATTAGGGTGTTATTAAAGGCTATTTCAAATTAGGACCTTATTAAGGACCATCTCACCTTATTAAGGACTCTCAAATTAGGGCCTTATGGAGGACTCTTCAAGTTAACGCTTTAGTAGGGACTATTTGAAACTAGGGCCTCATTAGGGACTATTCCAAATTAGGGCCGTATTTGTGATTATTATCAAATCAAAGGCTTATTAAGGCATAATTCAAACCAGGGCCTTATGAAGGACTATTCCAAATTAGGGCCTTGGAATTTGTTTCTGGAATTATTTTATTAAGATTGCTGTATAAAAACCATTTAACAGCAATGGACAATCTAGGAACTCGATGATATCCCTCATCCTTAAGAGTCGTGCTAAAACCACCCCTTAATTCAAAGGATCCCCGCCGAAATTAATTGTAGTCTCGGCCATTTTGAAAATGGTTTTTGGGGCGGGGTGCAGTGGCTGCTGCAATACAAGCTGAGTATGGGTTCACTGGCTTTCGAACTTCATCGCCGTGCATTTCAACTAAGCCTGTACTTGTGGCAAGAATGTATTTCAATACTAACAGGGGACGTACAGAGCCCAGGAATACCCCATGCCATATATCGTTTCAGGCTGAAGGAAGTTTTCATGACATTGCAATCGCAAGGCCTTTTTTCCGGTCGCATGGAAAAGGCTGAGATGCCATCAATGAGTTTTCCGATTTCTTTACAGCACATGCGTAGCCTCATCGACAAAAAGTCGCCGGCTAATGAATTTGACCGCGGTTTGTTTTTTCCGTGATCACAAACGAGAATCGGAGATTCAGACCCAGCAAGAACATTTTTTTGAATTCGGTTTTGAATCCAAGACGTCCGACGTTGGACAGCAACAAAAACAAGCAGACTGATGCAACCAAGTGGCGCGATGCACACAAACCATCAAACAGCTTGATCAACATGCTGGCTGATTTGAAAGTCAGAAGATGAGTAGCGCTGCCGGCTTGTCCTCACAAATAAAAACAGGGGGGGTCGGGATCATGGAACGTAATGAGATGATTTAAAACGATTGCAATGGCAAGAATGGCCTGAACAAATGCGGGGGGGTTGGGAGGGGAGCACCACCCCATTTGCAAACAAAACGATCTGCACAAGCCTCCCTTACTAATCATCATCATAACTACTTTTCCTACTCCTACTCATACTACTACCACTACTACTACCACTACTACTACTATTACTACTACTGCTACTACTCATAATAATACTACTACTGCTACTACTACTACTACTACTATTGCTACTACTTCAGGAAAGTACAGGGAGACCATAAAGGCTGAAGTCGAAGAAGCCAGAAAGCCAAGAAGCCACAAAACCAAGAAGCCGAAAAGCCAAGAGGCCAAAAAGACAAGAAACCAACACCCAAGCAGCCGAAAGAACGGAGATGGTCAGGTAACTGATGAAAATGAAAATGATGAAAAATCATTGAAGATGATAAGGAATGGTTTACAAAAAACTATTGAACATGATAGAAATTGATAGAACATGATATAACATGATGGAAAATCATGAAAAATGCTGAAAACAAAAAGTCATGACCAAAAAAAAGAAATGTGTATATGTATATATATATATATATAGAGACCTTTAGGGTCTATTTGGCCACTTTCCCTTCATTATTAATAGCATTAATAGCAATGACATTAATCAGAGTATCCTGAAATTGCGATACTACTAGTAATATTGGTAATAGTATTCCCCACATTCATTGTGGGAGGTTTACTTGTTTCGATGTGGCGTGCTCTTCCGTCGCGCAAACATTTTGGACGCGCTCATGTTGACTCAAAAATCACGCTCTCGCTCGAAACATCCTCAAAAGATCGACTTTTTTTTGAAAAGTTTATCTAAAAAATAGGAGACATCCCCTTGAAAGTAATCTTGCTAGACGGGTCGGTGCGAACGGGACGACCCTGATTTTCAAAAATCAAATTTTCGCTCGAGACGTCATAGCATTTTTTTGAGTTTATGACCTATCAAACATTGCGCTCCCGTGTGAGAGAATTCGATTTTTTTGAACTTCTGAAATTTTGTTTTTTCTACAATCGCGCTCTCGCTTGAGACGTCCTCAAAACATGAACATTTTATTTCGATGATGGATCCAACAGAAAGGCGAGATTGCCTTTAAAGTAGGGGGGTCGAGATCGACTTGGTCGCGCTCCGATTTTCCAAAATCGCGCTCCCGCGCGAGACATCCTGAAATTCCGGATTTGGCGTTTTGGATAAGTGCGCCGCGAAAGACAATTCAATTTGACGTTTGGTCAAATCGTGCTCTCGCACGAGCTGAGAGGGCAAGGTCCCAAACCTTGCAGAAAGATGACTGAGGGTTTAGGGGCTTAGGGTTTAGGGTTTAGGGTTTAAGGGTTTAGGGTTTAGGGCTTAGGGTTTAGGGTTTAGGGGCTTAGAACCCTAAACCCTAAACCCTAAACCAAGACCTCCACACCCAAAACGTTTAGGGCCTACAAAACCTGAAGTGTCAACTCTTGAGCTGTCAGCAGCCGTTAGCCAGGAAATGGGAGACCTACAAGAACGAGAACTTCGAGAGTCACTACGATCTCTCGTCTACCGCTCAGCTTTTCAACGGACGGAGGCATTTTTTGGAGTATTTGGGCCCTCACCGACCCTAGGAGTAAATGTCGCTCAGAGAGGAATTGGAAGGGTCTCCATGAAGGATTCTGTAAAAATTGCATTGAGAAACTCCCATTTGAGAAAGCCATAGGGGTCCCCCCCCCTCATATGTGCTGAATGATTCGGAATAATAGTAGGAATTTAGACTACAGTTTGTATGGGTTTAGGGTTTTAGGGTTCAAAACGCTGGGTCGCAGTCCTTAAACAGCACACCCACGATCCCCTCATGACCGTCATATATCCCTACGGTCCCTGTCCCCGCCTCCCCCCAATCTTGAGTTTTTTTTGGCATACTATACTAGAAGTGTAAAAGGATCGGAAGAGAATAGCCCTGGTAATCATCTAGCCTTCTAGGCTACCCTAAACCCTAAACCCTAATCCCTGAAGTTTTTGGGTCTGGGGCATCTTCAAGAAGACCTACCATCAAGCTGTATCCTAAGGGACCCTACGGTGGATACATGAAATCTTGCGCCGCCTAGGATCCCCGATGTATCGTACAGTAGAAGGTATATAGGGTGGTCAAAGATGTGCTCCATCCTTACTTGCGGGTTTAGGGTTCAGGGTTTAGGGTTTAGGATACATTTTTGAAAAGAACAGATCGGGGACGTTTCTGAGGCACGAGTTCCACGAGAAAATGCCGATGATTGCCAACACCTTTCACGGATTGCCATCACCCTCAGGCGCCTGGACCAATTCTTTCGCCCGAATGCCCTAACAATACATCCGTCCCAGACCACATTTCTGATTCACAAGCACATGGGCGACTATCAGGAATACTTGAAAGGTTTTTGGGGAACGGGGCTGTTGAATGCGACAGGGAAATGACGAATCCGAATCCTTCCCATAGGAGACTGGCAGATGAAGCTACGGTGGATGGACAGAATCCTGCATTAATTACCCCATGTAACAATGTTACTAAGCCCTTACAACTATGGTCCTTTACTGCCATTAGGGCACGGGAAGGTGTCCTCATTGCTACTGAAACTTGCGTAGACACCAAAATTGAGACCACCATAGAAGAACAGTGTTCCTCAAAGCCCCTAAACCCTAAACCCTAAACCGTGTAGAAACTTTAGCCTGAACCCAAAACCCCAAAGCCTGGTTCTAAAAAATGGCGCCTGCGTTGGGCCTGATTCGGGTAGGGTCCTCCCAGAAGACGGGAAGTAAGTCAGTAGAAGCTTGCCAAGATTTTGCCTTCCTAGTCATCAAAAAATTGGATGTTCTTGTAGCCCAAAACGCTCTTCTCGTTCGTTGGGCCCGCTACGGTAGGTAATGCACCGTAGCCATGGAAGGACTCAGCAGCGCGGAGGGCTCTCGGTCTGCTGGCCATGTGTCCCCTTTGTAAGTAAAGCTTCCAAACCTTCGGCCCTGCAAATGTACTTCGAAAACGGTTTCTGATCTCTATCACGCCCCAGACCCTAATACCTTAAATCGCGTCATTACAGGCTACCTTTCATCATGTATGTGCCTGATGGTTGTGCTGTTGGCCAGGGGCAGGTCAGCATCACGGCATGTCGCTTGCTGCCGTAGTTATTGCAACCTCCAGCGTTGAGTCAGTAGTGGAACTCCATGCTGCATGTTGGGGTAGGTTTAGGGTTAGGGTGACAAGTGACAAGCGGAAATGCTTCCCCGCGGTCCGGAACATTCCTGCCCCTCGCTTCATCCATCCTACAGTTCAGAGTGAAACCCTACATGGCCCAAATGAGCTCATATCTTAGGAATCGTAATATTCTAGCATACGAAGGCCATGAAGATTTTTCAATACCAACAGGATGACATATCTGCTCCAGGCTCGCCAATGCAATCTCCTTGGCACACTCCACGCATGCCGTGGCAAAGCTGATGCCTGTTTCACTAGATGGATCAGGGTTTCCCATACCCGGGTCCCTTGATTAGGGATGTTGTCTTGTTGGAAAGAGGGCTCTCAACAGAATTTTTCTTAGAGGAAAGAGGGTTGATTGGATACTGCCTCCACTCATTCACTGTTGGATTGTACTTTTACTACATTTTATGTTTATATAGAGCCCTTTGTACGACCCCTATTATAGATTGTTAATGGGTGGGGGCCGGCCCCAACCCTAAACCCTAAGCCTTGCCTAGGCTTGAGTCTCTTCTCTGGGAAATGTCAGACGCTCCAATTCGCAGAATCGATACCCAAGTGAACCCAAGACCGCCTTAGCGTGCAAAGAGGGGCCGGGTGTGCCAACACCAAATTAAAAAATGCCTTGAAGGCCTGGGATCCTGTTCTAGGATTGTTACAAGTACCATTCTGCTTATTATGTTTTGTATTACTTTCACCGTTACTCTTACCCTTACTGCTACTGCTGCTGCTGCTGCTGCCCCTGCTACTGCTACTACTGCTACTGCTACTGCTACTGCTACTGCTACTGCTACTGCTGCTACTACTACTACTACTACTACTACTACTAGTTTTTCTTCTTTTTCTTCTTCTTCTTCTTCATCTTCTTCAACTTCTTCAACTTCTCAAGGGACCCAGCCCGCGGGAAACCTGGATTGTCACGCCCAAGACGGGCTGTGACAAGCACATGAAGGACAGCTGCAAACATCAACAGGGGTTTAGGGCTTACTTAGAGGTACTTGGAAAAATTTTGTATTTGCTTATTATAATTTTTAAGGAACAGCAAAGATTTAGAATTTTTACTAGGGTTCCAAGTTCTCGATAGTTTAGTGTGGCTGTTAAGGAACATATCTCAAGTTATCATGCTAGGTGAACCAAGAACTGTTTGTTTATACCCGTCATGGTGATTTATTTTGAGTTTCTTTACAGCAACCCAGTATATTCAGGTTTCAACATTCTCAGCCATGCGGAGCAGCAAACAGGCGACTGCCATTGAAGTCACAAGGTCAATGCTTGCGGGACAGAGATTCAGACAACTTCTGGTGCCTGCCGCTCAGAAGAGCTCACGAGCTAGCAAGCTCATGCTATGACTACTCATCTCAGCCAGTATTGAGTTGCTAACACAACCATATGTGTGAAACTCAGCGCTGCATGGATGCGTCCTGCCATGAAGTGTGGCCTTAAGCCGTCCTCATCTGCAATGTAGATAATGCTTCGCACGACGAGTGCCGCGCCGCCTCCAACCAGAAAACTGGTGTCCCTCTGCACCCAAGCCGATCAGAGATGGGCAGGGGAACCTCCGCATATGATAATCCTTGTGAGGGGATTTCCCGAAAAGGTACTCCTAATATTGGGAAACCCCCAGTGCTACTTCGTTTCACCATGCGTCCATTCACCGTCAGCAGTCAGTGGCTCATCAGAGCAAAGGATGATCCTCAAGTAGCCATTTTGTCATGTACTCCCCTCGCAACCCTACTCAAATCAAGCCTAACCCCTAAGCCCTAAACCCCTACAGGATACCTGTAAATCTTTCTGGCTTGCTGGCATGAAAGGTCGGTCGCTGGCCAAGGCAGCACAAAAGCTTGCAACCAGTAGTTGTTTCGTGCACGCAAATGCACTTTGACAAAGCGTTCAGTTTTTCTCATGTGACTTTGTAGCTAATCAGTGAAGCCCACGGCGTCCCTCAACAACCCAGAATCGTGCACTAAACCCTCAACCCAACACACTTAACTCGGTACTCTATAGTCACTGCCCGGCTTTGCACTTTCAGTCCAGAAGGTGCGTGAGCCCGCGCAAAACCCATGAAGCCAAGGCCCATATCACAGGATGCCAAGCACTGACCTCTGGGATTCACGGATTTGGGATAAGGGTGAAGGCTGTGGGATCTAGGCTTTAGGCCTTGGGCTGTAGGATTTGGGATTTTGGGTTGCAGGCTTGTACCTCTCTAGCCGTGCGATGGCGAGTGTTTCGTGCTCTCCGCGCAAGCGCAAATGGCCGGAAGATGACGCTGCCTTGACAGTCGAGGCCCCTCTGCCTGCTGTTTCTCAGTAGGGAATAAGAGAATATAATCACCATATAATGCCTGTGTATTATATTCCCCAGTATTCCCTAATTACCAAGAGCCAGCAAGTCTGGCTTCTTTGAACCCCCGCTGCGATATTATGCTACCTCGTTAGGTTCACCGGCCTGTTCTAGTTCTGTGACTCTCATAGGGGCAGGGGTCAGCGTGGTTTCGTAAGTATGAGCACCCCCAACCCGCCCCACAGCCGGACAATGACTAGATATGTCAATAACGATACTGCTACTGACGCCAGTACTACAAGATAATCAGCAACATGACACTGATAAGGATCAGAGTAAGTATGGTAATGTCAAGAAAGTACATATCCATAGAAGGAATGATAAGGATAGAGGCAACAAAAATAGTAGTCATCAAGATATCAGTATTATTGATGACATCAAACAGAATCGTGTTGATAAGGGTATGAACCTTGAAAAGAACAAGCATCATAACGCCACTAACCATAATGATAATACTCAGAACAGTAATATTCTCAAGAATGAGAGTCATAATGATCGCAACCATCTTTTTAACACTGATAGTCATCATCGCCGTCATGATCATCAGCCCTAACGCCTTGGAAGGTCCGCGCCGTGAGTGGCAGCGTTCTCGGCTGCTTCGAGATGTCCGCGCGGGACACCATCAAAGATGTGAAGGCCTGCCTGCGGTAATGTAGAGGTCTGAATAATTGCCAACGGTATTTTCAAAGAGAATCCTTGTACAGCAGTATAACTGTAGTATGCTATGTCCCCCCAAAAGAATCCACTTCTACTTCTTGAGGCCCCTCTTCTTCTCTGGATGGTAGAGGGCTGTCGCCATTGCCGCAGGCCATCGTAGAAGACATGCGTTGGGCAGCTTCCAACAAATTGAGGTTCGTTTTAGAGTGGCTTTGGGGGTTTTATGGGCATATGCAAGCCGTTTCCAAACGAAGGGCGTCACTTGTTTTGGGTTCCTACTAACGAGCTTTTCATATGTCGAGTGCATACAGGGCGATGGAAGAACACCGCAAGACGATGTCGTCCTAAACTTTCCAGGAATATGTTTTGATAGTCCCATAGGTGCTGCCCAAAGGGGAGTCTCCAAAGCGTATGATGCTTGCCACATGTTTTTTGCAGGAGATTGCCTTTAGACAGAGGGTCAGGGGGACGTGGTAGCCTTATAACTCCACCAAGCCTTAGTAACCTCAGTTATCCCCATTATTAACCTACTTACTAAGTCCCCTGATCCTCCAAGTACTCCCAGTTTCCATTTCATTTTTCATGTTCTTTTCCATTTGATTCTCCGTTTGTGGGGGTAATGTACCACTAATTTTGGGAAACCCTACTTTAACCAGCAGTCTAGCAGACCTCGGGGCTCTGGACAGGTCTGGTTTAAGTGGGCCCAGAACCTCACGAGGGTGAGGGTTTGAAGCTTGCTAGTGCACAGAAACTATCAACACTCTCTCAAAGGTCTTGACCGGCAATCCTCACCAAAATTTCCGGACAGGGCACCCAATCACGCCAAAAAGCATTCGAAACCTTGATTTTGAACCCCAAGTTCCAACTGCAACCTGAAACCTTCCCCGCACCCCTGACACCTCATTGCCAACCCCTGCTCGCGCACTCTGGAAAGAATTTGATGTACAAGACGTGAATTTGGGCCCTCCTCTTGCCAGAACCCCTTGAAGCTCCAAAATGCAAAGCACCACTGACGCCCGGAACGACAGAGTTGCCAAATGTACACGCTTGAATACTCCAAAACCGTCTGCTTGTAATTCCTTTGTACATATACAGACATAGCTAAAGAGTATAACAGGATGTGCTGCCAGATCCCAAGCGCTAACCTCACACTTGTGAAGGCAAAGCTTAACGGAGCACATGGACGACATGAGCTCCTCTGCTCAGAGGGCGGGAGGCCAAGCATTGTGGAGGGCGACTCAGAGTTCGGATTTAGCGTTTATGGTTCTGGATTATAGGGTTGGGGTTTAGAACCTAGGGTTTCTGGAAGGCTTAGAGGGAGGGTTTAGGGTTGATGTACGAGCGCGCTGGGGATCTAGCACAACCAACGGAAGCTCTGTTCCAAACCGGGCACCGCAGGGTATCAGACCGGGTGCAGACTCCATGTTCTTCACGTTGCGAATGGCAACTTTGTTCTGCTTCCGGACATTTGAGTCGGAAACCTTAAGTCACAAGCCGAATTGGACACCCATCGCCCTGCGTTTTTTCTTTTGAAGCGTCCGATTGTGCACGGCTTCCTCAAGATGAAGCCGGCTAGTAATCAAGCTGAGGGCTACCGCACATAGGCGCCCCAAATATACACCCCAATGTAAGCTGCTAGCCCCAATATAGGCAATGTACTCTAAGCGCTTCTTCTAGGGCCTAGCTTCTGTGAGCTCACTAGTACCTGTCCAGTGTGCTGTCCTTCAAGCCCGTGTCCATCCTCTTGTCGCAATCCTGCGCGAGAAGCCCTCGCACCCAAAAACTCTAAACACCAAAACATGTAAACCGCTGAGCCCTAAGCACCTAACCTTTGAACACCTAAACACCCGAGCCGCCAAACCACCCCTATAAATCTTGAAATGTAACTCTAAACCCTAAAGCCCTAAAACTCTAAAGCACTAAACACTAAACCCTAGCACCCTGAAGCCCCAAACCCAAGGTCAGGTATCTGATGACACTGCCCTTGGAAGCTTGGCCGGGGAGGCCCAGGACCATGTGAGCTGTAGGGTTATATTGGGGGGTTGTATAGGATTTAGGGTTTAGGGTCTAAACTCCTTAAAGGGGGTTACATGGGAAACTATACAGGATTTAGGGTTTAGGGTCTCAATTCCTTAAAGGGGGTTATGTACGGCATTATATTGGGGGAGTAGGATAGGGATTGTTAAGGTGGATGCTAGGAGTTTAGACTAGAGCTCATGTGATGCACTGCAATGCAATTCGAAGTA